AACTCCCACCGTTGTGCTTTTTATGCATAATGAACAATATAAACAATCCTGAAGCGTTGAACGCCCTAAATGGTCTAAAAACACTTTGTCATGTAGCTCACATTATTGTGATTTTTATTCATCTTGAGGAATTTAAATATTTTGAACAATCTTGAAGGGGTGAACGCCTTGAACGACTTAAAAGCACCCCCATCTGTGGCTTCCACTATTATGTTTTTGACGCCTCCTTATAGATTTGAATAACCCTGAAGGAGTGCACGCTCTGAACGACCTGAAAACACCCCCCATCTTCTGCCTCCCACTATTATGGTATTTATGAATCTTGAAGAATATGAACGATCTTGAAGGGGTGAACGCCCCGAAGGATCTCAAAGCATCCTCCTTTGTGGATCCCACTATTCTTACATTGTGCTCCTTATGCACCATGAAAGAAATACACGAGCCTGAACTATCGAACGACGTGAAGGGTTTAAGAGCACCTCTCACTGTGACTTTCACCATTGTCCTTTTTACGTATTATGAATAAGATGAACGATCATGAACTAGTAAACGTTGTGACGGTCCCAAGGCATAATAACGACCCATACTGATTACAATAACAAAGCATCTCCAAAGAGATGAAGACAATTACATATCGCATATGTATCCTTAAGAAATAGTATGTTGTTATCTCGACCCACGAAAATGATGATCAAGATTAACGTCAAAGACGACGAGTGAAGCAATGAGAATGAACTCAAGGAAGGTGACGACCGATCTCTAAAGGGAATGAAGAACCTTAATCAACCTCACTCCATTACTCACCAAATGTGCACACTGAGAATAAATCTTTCGCTAAAACATAGAAAACGACCGCCATATTATTGTGTCGGCACCTCAACTTGACTCTCTGTTCATCTCGCATTGTCGCTTCACCCAGCCAGGTACGCACTCCTTTTCCCCACTCTCTCACAATCTCTTTCCCTGACGATCTCTCTCTCCAACTCACTCACTTCGATTCAATTTTTTTTCCTCGGTGCACTTCACTGTGAGCCTTCGTCGGGTTTACTTAATTCCATAAAACACATAATGGTTTAAAGCATAAGTACAATCCCCCAATCTCGCACTCCCAAACTTGTCGCGACAAGAAAAGGCCGAAACGTCAAACGTTGAGCCCACTGTTGATAAATTTGATCAGTGGTCGCGTTTTCGTTTTGCGCCTCCATAATTTGAGGTGTCAAGCCCAGAGCACTTGCGCCTGTGTATTGGTGTTTTAACTCCAACTGACCTGAAGGTGATGACCACTAATAACAAAAGTAACATTTGTTTGTCAATGATGACGATTGTGTGGTTCAAGGAAACGAAGCCACCGTCATAGCAATGAATAATGGATAGCACTGCAAAGAAACAGGCATCACCACAACGATAATCAATGACCTCGAGGGATTAGTCTTTCGCTAAAAACGGAAAGAGTCACCATACTCCTTGTACTTTTTTGCGCCCCTCAATCTGTAGGGGCAACGTCACGCATATGTAAGGCGCAATCCTTCTCACGTTCTTCTCTATTTTTTCCAATCATTATCATTTTTACACTCACATTTTTATTCTAAAGCCTCTTCTCCTTCTTGATATTTGCCCCACGTGCACCTCGATCTGATTGTGGTTGCCCTTCCATTTGACCTCCAAACTAATAAATAACTCTAATGTTGGATTGAATTTCGCAGATAACTCTTTTTTTCTCTCATTTACTCTTCACTTTCCTTCTACTAAATTTTATTTCAATCCGACTTCGGATTTGAGGTCATCAGCCCCAAAGGGGATATCCACACGGGACCTTCAACCCTTGGGTTACTTCATTCGCACTTCGTCACTCTCGCATCGCTCTATGATTTCGATCCCTTCACGTGCTGTATGAAAGTCGAATGCCCTATCCAATATAGTTGGATTCAAGTTCGAGGTAGGCCAACGTAAAATTTATTTCACTCGGGTGTAGGCATGCCAAACTAGGACAAGGCTTGTATTGCCTAAGTCAGGTCCTTCCAGCGAACCTCAAGGTCGTCGTTCATCTGCACCGGCTGCAAGAAACTCGAAGGCCATATCTTAATCATTAGGCACACCACGCACATGGCCATTAAAGCAAAACATCAACTTTTTATCGTCAATACGTGGTTCGTTGTCCGCATTAAACCACTAGTACCTCCCAGCCTGTTTTTGCTAACCCTGAATTTCAGTGCGCAACGAAAGTTGCCGAGGCCGAGTCCCCTTGTGTTTTCTTTTATACTTTTCTTCGAAAATCGAAAAAAAAAATAAAAAAAAATCAACTACGCTAGGGACGTGAAAGCAGCCAGATGCAAATTATGGGGTACATGTGAGGGTATGCACCTTCAACGGGCGTTACAGCTCTGCTAAAATCACGGTAGCGGGAACAAACAAAAGAAAAAAAAAAAAAATCAGCAATAACTCTTTGGACATGAAAGCAGATAGATACAAAATATGGACTACCTGTGACAGTATGCCCTCCCAACGGTCCTTGCAGTCGTGCTGTAATCACGACAGCAGGAAAAAAAAAAAAAAAAAAAAAAAAAAAAAAAAAAAAATCAACAACATTTTGGACGTGAAAGTAGTTGGATACAAAATCTGGAATACGAGTGAGAATGCGCCCCCCGATGCAAAGTGTCAGTTGTTCGTGGACTGCGCCTTGTCTCTCATTCGCAGAACACTAAACGTGGATCACCGAAAAAAAAAAGCCAAACACATACAGAAAACGAAACTGACTATGTTTCTGGGTAGATACATTCCTTTGAGTTCTTATGTGAGCACATCTCTTGTACGGCCTTCCCCGACGTACTTCCTTTCTTTATGTTTTTTTTTTTTTTTTTTTTTTTTTGTAATGGGGAATACAACTGATGCCGAGTCTGTAGTACCTCTGAACTCTTCGGGGAAAATGATAAAACGTCCACTTTTCCCTAATTTCCCAACACTGGCGGAGGTACTAGTGGTTTAAAAGTCCTACCCGGTAAATCCTGATGCAAATATATACACACATTGGGCCTCCGTCGATCCGACCTCATCGAATTCGTTGCCTTTGCGACGCATCTCATTGTTGATCACTGACAAGTTTGACGACCTCGAGTTAAACCCGGAGGGTCATGCTTTTAAAGCAGCACTCTCCTTACCGGAACCATTGGAGACCGGTAGCCTAGAAGATGTGGAGGTTGGAGGCAATTCAAACAGAAGTCGATAAAAAAAAAAAACCATGAATTTTGACGATTTTTTGCGTTTATAAAAATACACCAAAAAATCTGAAATTTTGAGACTCCGTAGATTTTGTCATGATATTCCCATAAAAGGATAAAAAATAAAAATAAAAATTGTTTAGACAGTGACACAATTGTCGCGCCAATTCCGTGCACTTTTCATTTTTTCGAGTCTACCACTAATGAGTCAAAATAAACATACTGTATTTTCAGTAGTTCTTAAATTTTAAAATAATTGTCATGAAAAAAAAAAAAATTATAATTTATGATTTTTTAATAAAAATATCAGAAAAAAAGGTAGTGAAATAATAATTTGTGTCGATTTAGCATAATTTTATTTTTATCCCCGACTTTTTTTCGCCGGGGAGGAGAGGTGGTTTAACGCGCGGGCAAAATCCAAGTTGTAACAGCACAACAAGGTAAAGTTTTAACTCGTTGGTGATGACTCAACTAATCCGCCTGATGAGATTACTAAACAAATTAAGAGACATAAATGAAAAACGTAAAAAAAATAAAAATGAATTAAATTAAAAGATAGAAGAAACTCACAGGTACAACAACTCTGCGCTTGAGCACTCACCGCACCTCAACCGATTTTGACTCGTTCCCGTCGACCAGCCGGATCGAGGAACCGACAATCATTTGATCAGTCAACACGCTCCTTAAAAAATACACGACTACACACCCTCTGATTTAATTACATACAACCGTGACACCCCGACTGCTAAGAGTCGGATGCAAACGGTACAAAAATTGTCAATCACTGTCTCAACTAACATTGCAGATGCAACTCATGCAATTTGTACAAATTTAGAAAAATAAACTTATAAGGGTGTTTGTGCCGACAACGTTGACAAGCGCATTGACCCAAACGTGCACCTAAAGAACAACGAGCACAAGGGTCCTTCTGATTGTGTCACGCAAGATGTGGCTTGAAATAACTTGAATGTGTAGAGAGTGGAGTGCCGCTCTGGCCAAGCGTGCCGACTATATTTCTTGCAACAAAACAGGGCTCTGCCAGGTGCAACTTAGCTCCACCTCTGGAGCTGTTACTATCCTTAGGTGGGTGAATCTCTAGCAACATATGGCGGCTTTTACATGTCACGGTAGAAGTGGACTAGCCTTGGGCAAAACGCTCAGTAATATGCCCGATCTACTAGCCCGGGCGGGACTCATCGCTTAGGGCGCTGAACTTCTCTCGTACCAGCAAGCAAGGGTTCAGAGATGCTTTCGAACAGGCAAAATGAACTAGGTTTATGAAGGGCCCACAGTTACCAGGTGCCATGCCCCAATAGCCATGCTCCACTAGCAGGGCTTCAGAGATGCTTTCGAGTATGCACGGGTTCCGGCCATCCGGATGCTTTCGAGTACGAACGGGTCCGTGCCATCTCTCGGCCGCACGTTGAAAAGTGCCCGGAAGTTCAACCCGAGTGGCTTTGTACTGCAAAGTTGGGTAGTGGGTGCGAATGCGGTGGTCAGGGCATGGTAAGTTAGGGAGACGGATAGATGGGAGTTTCGCTTTTCCCTTTTCCCCCTGGCACTCTGGCATGCTGGTACGGTAAGCAACGCGAGTGCATGTATGTCTCCCAGTTGCGAAGATAATGAGCAGGTCTCTCGGTGGGGCGCGCGCAGCTGCGAAGGACGAGCGATCTCGTGAAATTCACACGTTGAGGCACAGGATTGTGGGCTACCTGAAAGTCCATCCCAATGTGTCGACGTCGGAACTAGAGGTCACCTATCTGAGCAGTCGCGGAGTGCATACGTGGACGGACTGAGGTAGAGTAGGTGGACGACACGAGTCGCATTTGATGGGGGAATTGGATTAGATGAAAAAGCAGGAAAAGAAGTGCCGGAGACGGAAGGCGACGTAGGACAAGAACAAACGTAATGTGAGGGGGTTTCGGCTGGAGGGAGGGCGTAGCTGTGGTGCTAGGGACGTTTGGCAACGGTTAACAGGTGCCGCAGCGAGATCGAGTGATTGATAGGTTCGTGGAATGATTGGGTTCTGCATTGATTGATCTTGTGGTTGAATGGGGCAACGTTGTCAGTTAGTGGTAGGCACCAGGAGTTCAACGTAAGGCGGTGAGGAGGAGGGCGGAGAAACAGGAGGAGGATCAGAATAAATAGAAGAGGATGGCGGATAGAGGAAGTAAAGAGAAAGGGCCAGTAGAGCATGGAGATGTTGATCGTGGGGGTGATGATCATGGGAGCGAAGCGAGCTTCCGTTCTCGTGCCGATGGCGAAGAATATGATAGCGAGAGCGACGGCGCCGCTGGTCTCGTACGTCGCCGACGTCACGGCGAAGCCAGCGGATCGGAGGATGAGGACGATAGAGAAGATAGAGATGAACGCGAATCCATAGAAGAAGGTGCAGGGAGGCCACCTCTGTACTCGGACGAGGAAGATGATGTAGACATCGACGACGACGGAATAGGAGAGGTAGGAGCTTCGGAGTTCGATGACGAAGTCATTCTTGTGGACATGGCGGCGAGGAGTAAACGACAGGATGAAGAAAGGTTGATGCTTCTGGAGGACGATGATGACGGGGAAGAGGAGGATGGAAGGGGAGATACGGGAGGGGAAGCCGATCTTCTTGTCGATGGACAAGAGGGAGGGGTGGGTTTGAGAAGGCAAGTTCCGGAAGGAGATGAAGGCGGAGTAGCTGAGGAAGATGATTCTGCGGACAATGACGAGGAGGTGCTGCGCCGAGAAGGGCAGTTGAAAAACACGGTGGGAGCTGTTGAGACCGAAGGGTTACAGGACAAAGCCAGCAAGAAAGATGTCGAGCCGTTCGTTGTTCCGACATCTGGAGCGTTCTACATGCATGACGATAGGTTCCACGAGAATGGAGGAGGAAGACCAAGGTAGGTACGGACGCCTATGGCTGTTGCCGCGGTGAGGGGGGTTTTGGGGGGAGAGAGAGAGAGAGAGAGAGAGAGAGAGAGAGAGAGAGAGAGAGAGAGAGCCGTCTAAGTGCGTAGTAGTCTCGATGAAGGGTAATCTTAGTTATAGCTGTGTTTTATAACTATCTTCGTTTAAAAATGAGAGGTTTTTGTTCCGTTTCTAGACAGAACAGGGGTGATTTCGCGGAATAATAAGATACGCTATCTGCCATGTCTTTGTATACGTTAATTATAATCGTCTAATTTGCGCAGGCGACCTCCCGTCCGTTACAAAGTACCATTATCTTGATTCGATTGGGGTTAGACGATTCATTCCTCTCCTCATCCTCTCGCTTCGTCTCGTTATCCGCCTCCTTCCTCTTTGTCGTCGTTCCTCGTCTTTATCTGCTTTTCCCCTTCGTTTTTTTTTCTCTTTATTATCCCATGGACCATCGTTATCATTCTCGCCAGTCCTTGATCCCCGTCTCCACCACTATCGTGACTACGTGACGTATAATACCTGAAGTTAACTTGGCAGTATAGTAGTGATTGTGAAGTAGTATTAATTGGTAACGAGTTAGGGAAATACGAGACCTTATTGACTTTCCTGTTGCCACTATGATTCATATTCCAACGAGGATGAATTGTTCAGATCGACAAGAGACTCCTCTAACCATCAGTTCGGTACAGAAGTCCTTCACAAGTTTTTGTTTTCTGGAGGCAGCTTGTAAAAGATATGGCGGTGGTTTATACTACAGGAATTCTCCAAAGCATTATTTTAAAAAATAATAATCGCCTCGTCTCGTGCGATGAGGATCGGCTTCGATCTTGCAGACGGAACAGTCGAGTCGTGATGTGGGACGTGAACGGGAAGGCGATTCGCCTGGGGGAAATCTGAGTGGTGAAAAGGAAGAGAAGAGGAACAGGAGAGAGGGGGAGAGAGAGGGAAGGTGTAATGTATGTTTGCCCAGGGTTCCTTCTCGTGATGACTAAATCGTGGTAGAATGCAGGTAAAGCGTGTGTTTGTGTTTGATTGTGTGTGTGTGTGTGTGTGTGTGTGTGTGTGTGAGAGAGAGAGAGAGAGAGAGAGAGAGAGAGAGAGAGAGAGAGAGAGAGAGAGAGAGAGAGACCAGGGATGTAGATCATTGTGGATGCTTATAAACTCGAAACTTGAATTACTGAACATGGATGATTTAATCGAGAGAGAGAGAGAGAGAGAGAGAGAGAGAGAGAGAGAGAGTGAGAGAGAGCAGGGATGTAGTTGTGGATGCTTATAAACTCGGAAACTTGAATTACTGAACATGGATGATTTAATCAATATCGAGAGAGAGAGAGAGAGAGAGAGAGAGAGAGAGAGAGAGAGAGAGAGAGAGAGAGAGAGAGAGAGAGAGAGAGAGAGAGAGACCAGGGATGTAAATCATTATGGATGCTTATAAACTCGAAACTCGAATTACTGAACATGGATGATTTAATCAATATCGATGTCTGCTGGTTGGTTAAATACGCCAGAAGAAATGAAAAACTAGCGTCACTAGCTCGACCGGGAATGCGTAAATGAGTGGATGTATGCATTGACGTGCGCACACGGACGAGTGGATATCATAAGTGTAGTCAGATCGGGATGCACACAATTTCGGAGGATTGTTTGTATTTCTGAAAGGAAGTTAATTTTCTCAGAGAGAAGAGGCACTCTGGAGATGTGAATACCCCTCAATTAGAACAAGAATGTGAGGATACCTAGGGACGAAGACAGGTGAGTTGCATCTAGACGTGAGAAATTCAGGACGTGATTATGTATCATGGTTGTAAGGTTGGGGTGGGAACCAACACGTGAGGAAGGAAGAAATCATTTACAACAACCGGATGCAAACGAGGCAACATGAAGTTGGAAAAACGTAGCTAAATGAGGGAAAGAAGCAATGCGGAAAATGCGAAAGAGGGGAAACCGCGAACGCGTGAAACGACAGAGAGAAGACAAGAACTGGCTGATTCACTCCGATCCTGGCACACAATCGGTGTGTGTTGGTGTTCGTGGAAGGCTCGCTTGGGTAGGAGCCTGCCGTTGTTATGGCACGCAGGTTCTGGAACTTGGTCGAGTCATGACGGTAGTCTCGTTACGGTGTTAGACGCTCGCAGCCTTTATGGTTTTTATGGCACTTGATTTGGCGTGCCGCTAATTTTGGGATAAGGTGGACTCTTTTGGATTTGTTTTGTGTGCATTGTAGAGTAGAAAAAGTTAAGGGATGATCATATAGTGAGATTGCGGCCGTCGGATCGCGTACTTTTAATCGATGGCTAAGGAACCCCGGCCGTCAAGGATTCTGGTTTTCTTTCCCGGGCTAGAAGCAATGTCCGGGACGGGGCGAGAATGTACAGGAAGAGAAGAGATGGCACGGAGGAATGTGTCCCTTTGGCTGCCTAACAGGACATCTGTTCTTTCGTTTCCCGCCCTGTGCCCCCTTCCCCTTTTGCCATAAGGGAAGTAAGACTTGATTTTGTTAGTCCTATGGTACTGGTTTGAACTGATGGTAATTTGTGGCCAAACGGTAATGGTTCTGTGCCGTCCATGGACTAATAGCCAGGTAATACAACGGCCATTTTCCGGTACGAGGTGTGCTGAGAAGATTTCACCTGGTCCATGAATCGACCGGCCTTCAGTGATATTTCTAAGGATCTCCCTTCTGCAATTCGTGTATCGATCAGCGCCTCCTCAGCATTCAGGAAATTGTGTGAGAGAGAGTTCCTGAAACCGCGTTTCTGCCATTTGGAACGAGAAAGGTGCATCAGCAGCCAGCGCAAAGCAAAAGGAAATTGCAAGTATCATCCGAAAAATCTCGAGGGAGATGTAGCATGTCTGCTCGTAGTGTACATTGTGCTTGCCTTGCGTTTTATGGACGGGTATGGTGTCGGCACTCGACTTACTGTGTTGGCGAGAGCTGCCATGGTGAGTTGTGGTGCTGGGCATTCAAATCACGGTACCAGGCCTGTGTCTCTCTGTTGGTGAGAGGTGCGATGGCGAGTTGTGGTGCTGGGCATTCGGGTCAGGCCTGTGCCGAGCATGGAGCGCCTCGACCCAACCGGCGAACCGTCTCGTCCGGCCGGTACCTGTCCGGTAAAGTCCCAGTCGCCTGGACCGTCTGGCTCGGCGACCAGATTGTCCCATGGTTCGTCCGGGGTATATTGTTTGTGTTTTGGTTTGTTCTTTCATTCATTCAGTCCCAGATCCACTGATCCCGATTCAGTCTGCTTTCAAATGCGTCTTCTCGTGTGCGTGCCCTCCTGTCTCTCTCATCCAGTTACGCCCTCCTCTCTCTAGCTCCAGTCACGCCCTCCTCTGCCCAGCATGGAGCGCCTCAACCGCTGGTCCGGCCGGTTCATGTCCGGTCAAGCCCAGTCGCCTTGATCGGCGGGCTCGACGACCAGATTGTTCCATGGCGTCCGGGGTATATTTATTGTGCTTTGGTTTGTTTTTTTATTCATTCAGTCCCAGATCCATTGATCCCGTTTCAGTCCGCTGTCAAATGCTTCTTCTCGTGTGCGTGCCCTCCTGTCTCTCTCATCCTGTCACGCCGTCCTCAATCTAGCTCATCCAGTCTCGCACGCAGGTGCGTCACATCGAACTTGCAACTCTGGTGATGGAGTTTGGGCAGGATTTTGTTTGGTCTGGAAGGGGAATTGCGCGAGGGCTCTGGGCGGACCGGCCGGCGTGGTGCGGTCGACTCTGGTTCACGATTGCGGTGGGCAGGATTCGGTTTGGTCTTGAAGGGGAATTGCGGCCGGTGCGGCCGACTCTCCTTTCACGATCTCGGCATGACCGAGGATGCTGGTCAAGGCGCCATCGCTGTTGCCTTCCTTTCAAGTGCGGTGCTCCGTATTTGCGCAAAACCCAGGAGCTCGTGCGCGGCGGCTGGCCACGATGGTGACAAGCCCGTTTTCGGCTACTTAGCAACTTACAGGGGCAAGCGTTGTCCCAAGCTTGTTTCTCACCTCCATTGCTTCGTGCGTGTCCAAGTTGGGAAGAAAGAGGCTCCGCCAGCACATGGTCGTTGCAAATCTGCCGTTGCACGAGGCCCTGTACGTGCTGAACAGGAGTTTTACACACACGAGCGTGTAGTGTTGTGTGCAAAGGGTGCTGGTTCTCTTCACATCTGGCCAACGACAAAGAGTTAGTGTCCCTTCTGCCACTTAGAGGAATCTTCTCTGAAGTCACCATGGCGAGGTTGAAGGTGTATTGGCCCAACCTGCCTAACATGGAGGAGATCGAAGTTGTGGTGCGACGCGATATGCTGGAGCGTTGCTGCGTGCTCTCCTGTTCAACCTCTCTCTATCCACCAATTATGGGACACTTCGTCGATTAGTGGACGGCGTGGAAACGGAGTTGCATGCTCTGGTTCACGGTCAGGGCCGGCAACTTTCGTCACCCCATTTTTTATGATGTGACTGCCTGCTCCCGGATGGTGGAAAGGTTACGCTCCGTTTTCGCTATGCAGCGCGAATACCTTGGGCGCGCCCATTTTCGTTGCTTGCAGGACCTGCTTGTCACTGAAGCACGTGGATCGTGAGGCATCTCCTCAGGCTGGGGAGCAACATGGATATGGCCAATCCGCTTGCATGAATCGCCCGCCGAACGTCTGCAGCATCTGGTTCTTGCGGTCTCAGCTAGTGGTTTGTCCTGAGCAAACGAGGCTGTCGTCATCCACGTGGCATCCGGGAAAGAGATGAACCCATTTGGGGGTTAGTTTGGTGGGATCCGTTTAGCGTGTCACGATGACGCTACCGTCTCTCCTCCGATCTCTGCCAAGGTGGTGTTGCGTCTGGCCTCTGGATGCACTTTGGCTGTTTTCAGCTTACGTGGCGGTTCGACCCTCAGTCCGGAGCCTGTGCTTGACGAAGATCGAGTTGCACAGCGTGTGAGAACTGGTGTTGGCTAGACGAGACTCCCTCCGCGCCTGTCTTTCCTCCCTGGCACCGGGCAATTGCGT